CAAAACTCTATGGTTTTTTGTGAAAATGAACTCTGAAGGATGATCAATCACGGTCAAAAACTGATTCACTTTGAAAAGAGTTTGTCAGTGGGTGACAACAGAGGTTTGGGCCTCCAAAAGTCTCAGTATCGTCGGTGGTGATTGTCTAGGGTTGAGGCTGGTCACCCTTCGCTTGCACTTCGTGAAATGCTCCCACATACAACCAAGCGTCTCAAATAGTCTCTGCTGAGGAAGCCCTACTCACTGCCTTCTCGTAGCAGAGGTGTTTTCTCTCACCAAAATGAGAGGACGAAAAGCCGGTATCTGGGGCTATAACCGGGTTGGTGAACCATTGGCAGTTCACCTAAGAGACTTGGCCAAAACCCCTGATTCCCAACCAACAAAGAGGAGGCGTACGAACCACACGCACACCTTCCTGATCGCAGCAGTGGTCACCGGCTTAGTTGGACATCAAGGTATATTAGGCACCTTGGACGTTTGACCCCGCCCAAAGGGCGTATGATCCGGTGAACTGGACATCGGCCCCCAATGGACTTCGGACACTGAACCCCGTCCTGTTGTCTTGCAGGTCTGGCTTTCTAGTCAAAGACTTCGGATGGGACCCCGAGGCCACCCTCCTTTCTCGGTCACGGCGACCGGGAAGTAGCATGCCCACACAACCCATGAACACATTCTTCACATTTTTTGTTCATTTGTTGTGGCACATTTGCCAGTTTTCTGTAATTGGTTACGTGTTGAAATGAATAAAAAATAAATCATATATATATACCAGTGAACGCATGCTCATACATATCTTTGATTACGTTGTCAAACCACAATGTTTAAGCACAATCTCATATGATGAAAATAACGATTTCGGTTACCGATGAACTTGTGGTCGTATCCATTCGGCAGGGGCCTGTTCAGCTCCAATCAGAACGCATCGAGTGTGAACCTCGTGTCCGTTGCTCAAACTAACCACAAAATTCGGTGGTTCATGTGTGGTATCTGCCGTGTCGGTCGGCGATTTTGTGTCCCCCGACTGTGCTTCGTATCGCTTGACCGATGTCAAACAACAATCCAGACAGAACACGGCACCGAACACAGCGGACATTCTGCGTCAAAGAACCGAGAACTAAATTGTCAGGCAAATTTACAAATGGAACGCACAAACTAAAGACACATGACAATTTGTAAAACGTCCTTTTCCCTTTATTCATTTCATCAAAACTAGAAAACATATGTGGGCAGAATTGATATTGGCCATCAATTTCGCGTGCTCTCATTCAGCTGTAAACGCACATTTATATTTGATCATGTGAAACGAAGAAGCATAAGAATTGAAATGAATCATTTGAACAAAGTGTTGGACAAGT